CTTAATCACATTCAAATACAGGCAATACAGTGCTAATGCTGATTTACTCACTTTACAATCACTACACGCTAATCTTCTGTCTAGATGCAGTAGTCTTCATGGGTTTATAACAGAGGAACTTAAACAGTCTCCCTAAATCACACACTCCTAATATCACTGCACTATAGCACTCATAAAGCCCTTAAATCACACATCAAGTCTTCAGAGGCTGACCTCTTGCACTCTTCTGTGCTCCTGGTTCCAATTCGCTCCGCCAGCTGATGACTGACTTTACTATGCTGAATTCATTTCTCTTATAAACCTTCTGCACTGGTCTCTCAATTGTCTTGAGCTCTCCTGAACTCTACACACACTGACTAAACCTTAAACAGATATTCGTTATATAGGCACCGCACAGGCAACACAAAAAACAAGTCACATGATAGATAGTACTGTTTCAGTGTGACATCATTGTGCCTGCATGGAAGTCTGTTTAATCAGCCGTTGCCTAGAAGAGGGTTGCTCCACTGTTGCCCGCATGTATCTCATACTTTTACCAGTCCGTTACCTAGCAACCTTCTGGCCATCCATGTTACATTATTCAACAGCCATACACCATACAGACCTAAAAATATGAGACACCCAATTTGACAGTTTAACATTAACACACTGCGGACCAGAGGGGCCATATGGCCCTCTACGTTTCCAAGCATTGCGGACCGGTTGGGCCATATGGCCCTCTGTGGTCACGTTATGTTGCAAAACGCTATATATCGCTGTGTGGCTTCGTTGAATTGTAACTACTGTGTAGATGACCTCGGGGATGATTGCTGCCTTATCTAGTAACTCGACTAGAGTCATTTCCTGTCATAACCTAAACAAAATTGGCTTTGTTCTAATCCAAGCTTGCACGTATGAACCACGCAGCTACCAGTTCAACATGGCTCAGAGACGAAAGCAGTTGCGATCTCTTGGAGGACAGGAAATATTAGATATGTTCTCCGATGAGCTATCAGATTTGCCAACTGCTTCGTCTTCTGATAGCGAGGCCATTATCAGTGACAGTGACAGTGACGGGGGCCACAGGGCTGCCCAAAATGTGTCAAGTGAAAGTGAGAGCTCCGTTGAAAGTGAGAGTGTCGGGACAGCTACATGGGATAAAGTGGACAAAACCCCCACTTTGGGAAAGTTTACTGGTGATCCGGGGGTGAAGCAGATGCCATCGGACCCAACGGACGTGTCTGAAGTTGCGTCACTGTTTTTTGGAGATAGTTTCTTTGACCTGTTGTGTCAGGAAACTAACAGATACTATCTCCAACACCGTGAGGCGTACGACAGAACCAATAAGGTTTTGAAGTGGGTGGATGTCACTTCAACAGAAATGAAAAAAATTTTGGCTATAATCATTCTAATGGGGCTTACGAAGAGAGAAAGTTTGAAGGATTATTGGTCAAGTGACCCATTTTTAGAAATTGCAATTTTCGGCAAACTCATGAGTCGTAAGAGATTTGAACAGATATGGTGGTGTTTGCATTTCAACAATAATGAAGTGCAACCACAACCAACGGGCAGGCTTTTCAAAATTCAGCCCTTATTAGACATTTTGGTTGAAAAATTTCAGACAGTTTATAAGCCAGAGCAACAACTGTCTTTGGACGAATCTGTGATTCCTTGGAGAGGAAGGCTTCGTATTCGAACGTATAATCCTGGGAAGCTCACAAAGTATGGCCTACTTGTTCATGTTGTCACGGAAAGCACTTCAGGCTATATAGGAAATTTAGAAATTTATTCTGCTGAAGGCAAGAAATTGCAAGAAACTATTGTTTCTGTTTTGGGTCCCTATCTCGATCAAAATTATCACGTGTATCAAGATAATTATTACAACAGTGTGGCAACTGCAGAATACCTACTTTCAAGGAAAGTACGTATTTGTGGTACAATTAGGGTGAACAGAGGCCTCCCTCCAGATCTGAAAGAGGAATGTAAACGCCTGAAACGTGGCGACACCGCATTCAGGAGGAAGGGGGACATTCTTCTTCAGTCCTGGAGGGATACTCGCGTTGTGAATATGGTTTCCACTATTCACAATTCGAGCATGGTCGATGTTCAAAGACGACACGGGCAAGTAAAGAAGCCTCTTTGTATTTCCGAGTATAATATGTTCATGAAAGGAGTTGATAGGGCCGACCAGTTCTTGGCCTATTATTCCCTTCCTAGGAAAACAGTAAAATGGACGAAGAAAGTTGCACTGTGGCTTATAAACTGTGCAATTTTCAATTCATTTACGGTTTTCAAAAAGGTGAACAGAAATTCTACTTTGAAATACAAAGCATTTCTGTTGAAACTGGCAAAAGCTTGGGCTACTGACGTCACGGTGGCGGCAGTACCTGCGTCAGACACAGACGTAGTGCAGCCGGGGCCATCTGTTCGCACCCGCCAGAGGCCTCAAGTAGACCCCCCTGGCCGACTCTCGGGTGATATGCGGAAACATATTCTCGTGAAAATTGTGAAGAGTGAATATTGCAAGAAGAAACACCCTTCTAGGCAGTGCCGTGTGTGCGCAGAGCACAAGAAGAAGAGTAGAACTGCCTACATGTGCAACTTCTGTGTAATGCCTCTTCACAAAGGGGAATGTTTCCAGAGATATCACATGCGCAAGCACTTCTAGGAGCTCTGGTAAGTGTTCTCCAAAAATTTCAGTTCATAAAATTAATTAGGAGATTTTATATTAATTTTTAAAGTTAACAGTGCACAAGTTAGGGTAGTAGGTTTAAAAACGCCGGTCCCCAGGGTGATTTAAATGTTTAAACCACCGGTCCGCAATGTGTTAACATTTTAATATTTTCAATTACATTAGTTTTAAGAAAAAATTGGACAGGTCATTACATTAGTATGCAACAACTATAAAATTATTCTCAAATACAAACATTGACCAATGTAGGGAAGAATAGCAGAGGAGATAAAGTTGAATGTAGAACTGTGTTAACACCTGATGATGGCTAAAAGGCCGAAACATGTAGTAAAATTACAGTGTATGGTGTATCTCTATATAAATGTGTTCAAACAGAAATACTAAAAAAAAATATTCAGAAGTTTGTGATAATGCTGTAAATATGGCAACCATATAAACTTTAATATCTCCCAGTTCTACAGGGTTGGCAGCCATACACTGACGCAGCAATCATAGTATTAATATTTACAAAATGCAATGCTTGGCCAGCAGAATCCTTCCCATCATATCCTGGCCCTGGAGGCTGACTCAGCCTCTTAACAGAAGTGAGTACCAGATATCTTCCTGGAGGTAAAGGGCAGCCAGCATGTAAGGCTGACAACCTCACCGCCATCTGTGAGCCAACTGTCTAGAAAATGTGGAAGCCTTCACAGCTCACAATATTACGGGCCTCCACAGCCTCTTACAAGGATAGCTTTACCTTTACCTTTACTGCTGATAGTGTGATTGTGAATCATCATCAGAGTATATGGTCCAATATGCTGTAACTGTATTGTGGCATATGTGCTGAAAGCCAGAACTGTGAAACTGGAAAGACAGCCGTTGTTAGGGAATGGCTCTGTAAACACGCCCATTGCTAGGCAATGGCTCAGCAGCTGTCACATGACTGCTGCAACAGACATGCATACAATGACAGAAGAGCTGTTGGAAGCTGTTTTCTGTGCAGTCCATGCCGAGGCTATATCACAAAGAGCAGATGCCATTATCAGTCCAAGCATAGTCTAAGTCAAGGGTCTAGTGAGGAGCTGAAAGAGAATCGGCAGGTGTACTGTCAGTTGAGAAGGTGGTAGCTGAGGCCGCAGACAGTTCGTGAACCCATAAGAAGCAGATTAACATCTGCAGTTGGAAGCCATTACCAAGCAATGTGACTGAGGATATTAGTCTGTGTGTAATAGTGATCTGTAAAACACAGTCACAAGCTGCAGAAGTGCAATAAATCCAATTTATAATCCAACCACATCTGTAGTCATGCCAGCATGCGACAACTGACGTTAGAAGTCAGACTGGACTGACTGATTAGGTTGAGTTGTTGCACTTCAAGAATTGTGCAACTTCAGACATGAACCCAGGAGATGGATAATTATGGTGGATTTTGAATGTCTGGTAGCCGCCATAGGGAGGCTGGAAGCCTGACGGAGGGGGGGGAAGAGGCCAACCTAAAGATCATAGCAAGTCTGCAAAAAAGAGACAACAGCCTGCCAAGTAGCAACAGAGGTCTGTCTAGGAAAGGCAAGGAACCAAGAGAAGCCAAAAATTAGACTGGCCTTGAAGGAGGTATAATCTCGTACTTGAGGTTGTGAAGTGAGCGGTGAAGTGTTCTGCCGGGCCACAGAAAATGTGAGACTGGACACTGTGAAAGACTCAGTCAGCACCCAAATGAAAGAAGAGACTACTAGCTGCTTACTCCTGGATATTCTCTCCCCATAAACAGAAGGAACAGTGACACACTGAAAGGCTACTCAGGATGGGCAGCCTTAATGAGGGAGCAATGTGGCATACTTGTTGAAAGCAAGATTTGTGAATCCAGCAGAGTAGGTGTTGTTATGGAACAGCTCTGTAAGCATGGCCATTGCTAGGCAATGGCTAAGCTGCCATCATGTGATTGCTGCAACAGATATGCATGCAACACTAAAAGAGCTGTTTGAAGAAGTCTGTCTTGTGAGGTTCATGCCAAGGCTATATATCAAGAACCAGCTGCCATTACCAGTGAGTCCAGAGGAAAGCTTCCAATGGCAATTAAAAGAGCAGGAGGTTGGTGTGAGAATGGATGTCAGCCTGTGAGGACATAAGCCCAGGATCAGAGGATCACCCATTAAGGAAGATATTATAAAACACAGCAGTGAAAACCGTGGCTGAGAACACTAGTTTTTGTGTGATAGTGATTTGTACAGTGCAGTCATGGGCTGTGTGTTAAAGTGTCCAAAAATATGTTTACCAATCCTAACCCATCTACAGTTACACATACGAGTACATGTGATAGTACAGAAATTATGAAATTATAATCACTTACCAACACTTTCACCAGCAGCAATTGAAATTATCTTTGACAGAACATCTGCTAAACTAGTCCGGATCTTGGGATCTGACTTTGAGTTGTCATCTAAATGTGACATCAATGTTTCTACCACAGTGTAGGAATACTGTGCCTGAAATTTTACATAATTAAATTGCTAGTTTATTACATCCCAAAATTACACATGAAAAGAAATTTAGATATACCACAAGTGCACAATTCAATGATTGCTTTCTTTTGTGTCTTGATCTTCTCAATAATATGGAGTATCACAGATATGAAACCAAAATTGCAACTGTACAGAAAAAGATACACACCAAAAAGCCTGAACCACATTAATGCCAACCCCAATTTCACATAGCGCATCCTGTTTTAAAAAATGAGGCTCTAAAGACACAGCCATAACACTATTAAATTTTTAGCACAATAAATGCCACTCTAACCTTTAAAGACCTGATGACATCTGTGGTGTGGAGAAAATGCCACCTGCAAAAGTTAGGTTTAGCAAACTGGATTTGTGTGCAGATACTCAGACTTTAACATTCTGCGTAACTTTACTGTAGTGTCTATCAATACAGAATTATTTGTGACCTCAATGCTAGAGCAAATAAATCAGAATGTTTATATTCAGTGCAGTTGTGTTGACCATAATACAACTGAGCAAAGTTCAACTTCTCGGTTCTTATAATCATTTATGCTCCTATTTTAATTGTGTAGTGGCAGAGCATTCATGTTAATCATGTCAACCTGACTATAACTTTGAAAAATTAAATAAAAATGTTACTCTCATGATTCAGTCATACTCCGCATACTGGCAGGAGAAGCATTCACACATTACAAGGTCTGCCACCTTTGTCCACATAATCACAGACTTATTTGCTATTTCCCTGCAGCTTGTAGTGGTCATCTCTGTGCACAGGCACAATTAGAAGAGATACAATGTACATAGTACAGTCAATAATTTCGTGTACTGGCCACATAGTGGCTCTGTGATGCATTACAGTGGATACGTGGAGCCATCAGATGGTGCTGTGTCCATTCTTCTCTTGCCTCAGTAAGAAGCAGTTGTGTGCGTGCGGTGTATTCAGGAAGAGAGTCACTGTTGTGAAGGGCAGTTGTCTGCGAGCAGCGGAAATCAAGAATTTCACAGTTTCAGCAACAGATGAATATCAAGTTCTGCCAAAAATTAGGCAAATCTGCTGGTAAAATTATTCAAATGATCAAGCAAGCGTATGGTGAAGAAGCCTTGGAGCACAGTGCTGTGTGCTGTGTGGCACAAACGTTTTGCACAGGGGAGAGACATGATGACATGACATGATGAGCATACCAGTCAGCCGAGAGCGGTCAGAACTGACTCAAGATCCAAGAAGTTGCAACGTTGGTGCATGGCAACTGCTCCCAAACAGTAGATGAAATTGCAGCAGCAGCAGCAAGGAATAGCCCTGGTACTTGCCACAAAATTCTGTTTGATAACCTGAACATGTCTTGTGTTACCCAGCACAGTGTTCCACACATCCTGACACAAGATCAAAGTGACTATCACAAGAGCATTTGAGGTGACTTGATCGACAGAGCTGACAAAGATGACATGTTTCTCAACTGAATCATAACAGGAGAAGGAACACAGTGTTTACTGTACTATCCACAACTGGAGTGACACTTGGCCACCTGTCATCATCACTGACAAAGAAACCGCAACAGGAAAAGTCAAAAGGCAAGGTAATGCATGAACTGTTTTTTGCTTCATCTGGAATTGTTCACCTGGGAATTCATCCCAGAAGGAGCAACTGTTAACAAACACCACTACAAGGATACCCTTCACCATCTACGCAATTAAATTCGTCGTAAGCATCCTGAGCTTTGGCGTAAGCAGAACTGGCCATTGCTACATGATAATGCCCCTGCACATCACTCTGTGCTTGTCCAAGAGGAGCTGGCAAAACAACAGGTCACAATTTTGCCACACTTTCCATACTCACTTGATCTCACACCATGCAATTTCTTTCTCTCTACCTGCTTCAAAGAAGAGATACACATGCGTCGATTTCCGTCGGTCAAGGAGACTCTGTCACTGCCACAAGGGAAGCCATACAGGACCTTCCTGCAGATATCTTTCAGCAGTGTTTCCAGCAGCTATACAAATGTTGGCAGAATAGCAGTGTCCAAAGCCATGTATTTTGAGGGAGGATGTGAATATATGTCAGTGTATGCAAGTATCTAGTAAGATGGTGCAACAAAACCACAGTTCACGGAATTACTGACTGTATTAGTAGTAGAGGCTTGAAGGGAGGTCGAAGTGCATGACATTCCAAGCTACTGCAAGTCCTGTGTGTTAGCCATACAGAAAATGTAGACATATTTCAGCTACTAGGTGTCTGCAGAGCACATAAACAGTGGAAACAAGCAGGAATCAGAGAGTGAAAGCATATTTCTGTTTGAGAATATCATGATATTCTCTAAAATTTTTACTTTAATTTTTGTTTGAAAGTATTTTTTAGGCATAATATCACAAGCCAAAAACATTTTTGAAATTATGCAAACCAAAAGTAACAAGTAAGAAGTAACACAGGTAGACCGCATTAGTGATACATGCGACACACAAAAACTATTGACAGCTACTATAGAGTGCAACGATGGCATTCTGATCATGATATAGTGCTAAAATTGATGTGCATGGAAGCACAGTGAACAAGTATACAGTGCAGTGGTCTCCCCAAAAGTGGGGAGATTACCTGATAATGGCCTGTGTGGCCAAAATATGTCAAAAAATTATTACAAATATGCGACTAAAGATATTTTACAAAACTGGATAATCACTTTTAATGTATAGAATGTGCTCTCAATGTCCTGTTGACATGTAATGATTTTATGAACATCAAAAAGTGTTAAAATTTTTAGTGTGAAACATCTTCCTAATGTCTTTTAAATTGTTGCATTATTGATGGATACTCGACAGTAAAGGACAAAAGTAATAATACCAGTTATTGCCTCCTCCCTCCCCCCCCCAAATGGAAGAATTTTATTATATTTTAAGAGAGAAGCACAAGTTTTTAAAATGTTTGGCCAGAAAATGAGAGCTGCTCACAGGGTAATACAGAACACTCAGAATTTCCAGAAAAGAATGTCAATGAATAATAATGATCAAAAAGCTTCTTACTACTCCGTGAACTGTGGAATGATCAACATTATTAAAGGACAGTTGACCAATAAATTCTCTAAATTCTCAATCTATGTTTCTTTTACTTTACTTTTTTTAATTTTTGTTTCTTTCACTTCTAAATTTGGAAACTTTAACATTATGCTGACAGGTTTCCAGCTACAGCTCATGAGTTGCAACTGAAATTACACAGATCATATTCTGATTCTCATCTAAAAACTGAACTTTCTCTTATATATTCATCACAATAATTTTTACAGAGTAATATTTCAGACCTCAAACATTTTATCACTTCAAATCTGATTACCACCTTACCAAGTCATAAAATCATCTGCGTTCTTATTATCGATTCTACCAACCACTGTGTTTGTCAAGTGGACATTTTCTGCTCTGAACAAGGTCTATCCTAAACCTATGAAACATGTAGACTCAAGAGACACTCACTCTCTGCTCTGAACAAGGTCCACACTTAACCTAAGCAGCATGCAGACTGAGGCAAGACTCAGAGTCCATAGATATTTTCACAGAGAAGGAACCATCACACAGAACAAGGTGCAGGAAAAAAAAAGGTATTTTCAGCAGTTGCTATGGATTTTTCTTAGTTTATATTTCCTTCCCCTTTTATCTTCTACTTAAATTTAGCTCAAATCTGCATAGTTTTCTTCAACAGTGCATATTCTCAAATGCCAGAAATTTTGCTGGATCAGGATTAGGCTAACACATTTGAAAAATCACAGTCCATCAGTGTATTTGTGACTCATTTTTTATTATTTGCCTAAAACAACTGAGGAAACTCATAAGATATATCAATCATGATTCACACCAAATACCTCCCAGATGCAAGTCAGATATGATATACTGCTATGCCATCCCACTCAGTGAAAACCAGTGTACTTTCTTTGTTCTCTTGTTTTCTTATAATTAGAAGTCTTCTTAAAATCATTCATCCTACTTTCAGAAATCACTTGCCTGTATTGAAAACATGATTATCCTGAAGGTATGAATTGCAAACTGATTTGGAACCCAAAGCTCATGAAGATCTAAGTGTCTGAAACAGAGATGGAAACAATATGATCATCATAAGTAACTTAATTTTTTCACCACATTAAAGCAGTTTCAAGTTTCCTTCAGTTTTATCAACTGCCCAGTGAAAAGTATGGTATGAGTGTCTCATCTTTGAAATCACTGGTATCTATCTAACAAAGTAAATGAGGTCTATCTCATACCTTCAGTCACCACAGATTTCTCAAGAACAGACTGTACCACATACAGATTTTACCTTATTTATTTTTAATTAAAATTAATGGAAATTATGTGATTTACACATATGTAAGTACAGTAATTATTGTGTTACTGCAGAAACTGTCTCCCAAAAAATCCCTCTAGTGCCAAATTTACCACTTAATCTCATTACAACAAACCTAAGAACTGGCCTCAAGACACAACGAATATGTCCAAATGATGCTCTTCCCACTAACTCTCTCATACAGGTTTCAGCCAAAGTAGGAGGATCTGCACGTTCTTCCTGTGGCGGTTCTGGAGTATCAGCTTCCTTCACATGATACCTACAAGCATATGAAGATCCATGAAGCACGCAGGCTTGATTCTACTAGGGGTTGTTCCAAACATGAGGTCACACTAAATGTTCAGTGTGGTTGGTGAAATTTGAGACTTCAACGTATAAGGGGAGGGCCTTTGCAGCCCTTGCACCATGACCTTCAGTGGTCTATTGTGCTTAATATAAGACTTGCTCTGACACCTCCACCTAGAATATCTTTTCCAAGAATAACATAACCTTAACTTTCTTCTTGGATGTGGCTGCACCATAGCTCAAGCAGTTAGTCATTGGCTTTCCACCGCGGCGGCCCAGGTCCGATCCCGGGTCTGCTCAAGTGGGATTTGTGGTGGACAAAGTGGTGCAGGGGTGGGTTATCTCTGAGTACTTCCATTTCCCCTGCCAATCTTCATTCCACCAAATTCTCCATCATCATAATCACCGGGGGAAGGCCAATCAGTGCCCGCCATGCTGAGTGGACCCAGTTGGACTCCACCCCCCCCCATCCGAATTAAGAAAAAAATCTTCTTGGCTAACACTGTTACTTATGAATATATAGGGTTGCATTTTACAGTGGTTCTAGTCTCTCTACATAGTAATTATTATTCAAAAGTAGAATCACCCCTAGCTGTCTTTCCAATATATTTACTGCAATGGTGAATGTCACAAAGTTCAATATTCTCCTATGAACTGCTGATCTTCATTATTAAATCGGTATGCTATTCTACTGGACCAGCCTCTGCTGTGTGCTCTACTAATTAGCTGTCCACACAAGACACACAGGTGAAATTCCAAATAACATTACTCATTGGGACACACAAAGAAACCTAGTTTCCATTTGGCAGTTTCACTTCACGCTTCCAGACTTCCATCAGTAACAACAATTCTTCCAATACCTATTTGGATCAGGCTACCAGTGAGATGGCACTTTACAATAACAGATCAATCTGTATACACTTATATATGACAGTTCTAACAGAACAGCTTTATTTCGTAACATCCAAGTAATCATCATTTCATGTCATACCTTATCAGAAGCCACCTTATCATACACATGCTACGCACTGTGCTTATTATATTAAAACAGCGACATTTATAGAGATATAAAACCATTCCAATAAATGTGGAGGGACACAGTCTCCTCTCAACCAACAAATATGCCACACCTAATATACAACAGCTCTCAATTAAGAGTAATGTTTTCCTGCATTCAACCCATGCAAGAAATAACCTATAACAACGTAAGATTTGAGATGCTCACAACGGTGCTTAAGAAGGGTTCTATCTTCTGGGATATAACCACCTTGTAGTCTGTTGAAAATCAACTGATGCTTCAGAAGGACAGGTCACCTCCATTTTCAGGGTCACAGAATAAGCCAAGCAAGAACCCAGTGTGAAGCAGTAGCAAGCAGAGCAGCTTGGCTTATTCTTCAACCCTGAATATGGAGGTGACATGTTCCTAAAAAACATCAGCTCGGTAAACACGTTGCCACAAAACAAGCAATGGAACAACGCCCGTTGCTAAGCTGCAGATTCATAATAATGCAACAGTGGGACTACAACAGTGGAAGAGCTGTGTTTTCTGCATGGTCCATGCTGAGATGTTATAAGTAAGGGACAAGCAGTTCTGCAGAGGAGTCTGTGAAGAGAGGGCTCAAGCTGGAGGCAGGGGAATAGCCACTGTTGCAGCTGTTACCAGGAAGTGTCTAATAACTGACTGATAACACCAGACTGTGTGTTCTAGTGAACTGTAAAGTGTGGATATGGCAATCACATTATAAATATTTGTAGTTACAACTTGTAAGTGGTCAATAAATCTATCCACTAATGCAAACCCCGTCTATAGTCACACATACATGTGACAATATTGTGACATAACACCTGCAGTTCATGCTGGGGTTATATAACAAGAGGCTAAGAGCAAATCAGTGGAAATTGAGTGTTGGTCACAAGCCAGCCACCATCAAGCAAGGACGTGAGCTTGGAAGCAGAGGGATAGCCATTACTGGGAAGACACAGAACCTTTAATGTTTGGAGTAGTGATCTGTAGACTGTGTAGATCTGTCACACTGTTATAGTTACCTGTAGTTATGAGTTATAAGCCTTCAATAAATCCAGTTACCAATACAGACCCCATGTATAGTCACTAACACATGACAACTGGTGCCAGGAGCAGGATATATTCAATTGGTTGGATTGACCGTATTGGAACCAATTTCATGGCTCACTACAGAAGACATGGATGATCTGAAAGCTGTCATAAGGAACTGCAGCCCAGCCAACAAATGGTAATAAGTGATCTTAAAGCCATAAGGACAACCAAGAAGAAATAAAAACAACGAAGGTAAGCCAAGAAAAGGTGACAGTCATATGAGAAAACTGAAGTCAATCAAGGAAAGACAGAGGCTGTAGCAGAGCACCATAACCAGGCCAGATGTGTAAAAGCCATGAATATGCTAACTGAACTGCAGAACCAGCATTCCAATGTTATACATGCAGTCCCAAAAGTAGTGATGTACAGGAAATTATCAAGGCAACCGAGGACCGATTAGAGGACCAGCATCTGCCCATAGCATACCATGATTAACTACAGACACAGGCCCAAGACAATGGTGAACCTTTGCAGCAGTATGCCACTGCCATCAAACGAACAACCCACTGTACCTCTCCTGCATGACATAAGAACCACATTCATAAGAGACCAGGAAATGTATCCATTGATGGCATAAGAGACTATGGCATAAAACAGCAGCTACTTCTGGAGGGGGGGGCAAGAGGACATCCAATGAGACCCTCAAGCAGACCCTACAGTTGGAAATTGTAAAGTTATCAGTCGGGTCTTCCACTGGGCTCTGGAAAATGAGTGACAGGATATTATGGAGAAACCGGCACCCTTTTAAGCAAAAGAAAAGACTACCTATGGTTTAATGTGCCAGCAATGTAGAAGCAGTGGCCACTATCAAAAGCTCTGTCCCCACAGACCAGAAGAAGAAATGGCAACACATCTATATGCTACTATGGATGAGCAGTCTTTAAAGAGGGAGCAATGTAACATTACAGCTGAAGGATGGAATGGTAGCACCAGAAGAGACAGCCATTGCTAGACAACAGCACACTAAACATGTATCTGCAGCAACAAATATGCATACAACAATGGAAGCATGGTTGGAAGTGGTGTTTCCTCTGTGGTCTGTGCCAAGGTCAAGTATATAATGGGAGCCTACAGGCCAACTGGTGGCATCTGAACATCAGTTGCAAGCCAGCTGTCTGCTGGCAAGGACATAAGCATGGAAGCAGAGGGATACCCACTGTTGGGAGCCTACAGGCCAACTGATGGCATCTGAGCATCACCTGCAAGACAGTTGTCTGCTGGCAAGGACATAAGCATGGAAGCAGAGGGATACCCACTGTTGGGAGCCAATACCTAGTAATGCCTGGTGACAACACAGAAACTTTAATGCTTACAGTAGTTGATTTGTACAGTGTAGAGGCATGAAACTGTTATAGTTACTTGCAGTCATGAGTAATAAGCCTTCAATAAATCCAATTACAATTCCAAACATTGTGTCTAGTCACAAATATGTGACACAACAGTAAAATTACAAACAACTCTTTATTACGTCTGTCACAACACAATAATACAGTGTTCAAGGATAAAGTGGCTTTGCTACATGTTTTGGCTATTCATAGCCATCATCAGGCAAATACATGATCATCATGTTTACACAGTAGTGAACTGCAATTCAGTAGTAAGTCTGGATACTTGACAATTATCACATTATAAAACACATGGTATAAAAATTACAATGAAATATAAGCTTATTATAAAAAAAGAGTTATTTTGCAAAATAAAGTTAAAACTATTCAAGTGATAATCTATATCACAAAGTCAGTTGTTGCAATCTTGTATTTTCCCATGGACTTGCTTTATTCTAGACTTTTATATGATAAACTGTTTTGAGGCCCGTGAAGTATAGTTTTAACACTAATTGTTTGGTTGGTACCTCATCGTACGATGTATTTATGTCCGTTTTGTAGGGAATACAGATTACAACTGATTTGGTGATGTATGTGTAGGGAAGTCGATACAAGAGAGTTGTAATAATGAGTTGAATATAATAACACAACAGGATGCATGAAATAATAAAGAGTCGTATATAATTACACAAAAGGATACATGAAAAAAAAAGTAAAATTACAATTAAAATTTGTGATCCTTAATGTGTGTATGAAAGTCACTGGCTACATGAGAACTTTACAGCAAACAAGCTAAAGAGGCTGCTGGTGGGCCATGGACTGTGATTCTACAGTTTATGACCCACCTCAAGCCTTAAATAGGTGACAACTCCTTGCGTAGATATTCTTGTCACTCCCTGTGAAGCATCTATCTCCTTAATCTTGCCCTTGTTCTTGAGGATAGTGCAAATTGTTGATGTAGACCGACTGTATGTGCATGCTAGATCAGCCACGCTCACACCTCATTCTCACTTTTCAATGATTTTACGTTTCATTTCTACGGTTATTTTTATTCTCTTATGACTGTCTTTTTGCGGCTTTTTCTTCGGGGACATTTTTGCAAGGTTTATTAAACTCTGCACCAAAAAAATTACAAATAATGTCTGAACACAAGTTTGGAAAAAGGTGTGATCACAAGTGACACTAAGATGCTAGAGGAACGAGTCCTAAACACAGACTGATGTAGCAAGCGCACAATCCGGGACTTCCCCTGTCGTCACTTGTTATGCAAAACATCGCTCGTTAAGCAAGTCATTTTTTTACACTTTGTTTTGCTCATTATGCGAATTATTCGTTATGAGAGGTTCTCATTAAGTGAGGTTCCACTGTACTAAAATTACAGTGAAAGGAAAGTAGGTTAATAGTTCTTCCCAGAACTTCTTTTTTTATCATTATCATTATCGTACATCATAATTGTCTTATAATAGTGTTTTTGTGGATAACAATTTAATCAAATTATCTTAATTTTCAATTACCTGAACCATCTTTGTCACT